CGATGGTTGCGGAAAAGCACTGGAAGTGGACGTTGTGTGGTGTTGATGAAAGAACCATCTAAGTCGTTGCAAGCGTTTTCTGATACTGTCCCTGGTGCTAAAGGGGAAGACGCGCCTCAGTCGTTCTAAAAGGATATTTAAAGAAGGAGAAGTAACCGCAAAACGTGAGGCTGCTAAAAGTAGGGATTTTTCATCCCTGGCTGACCAGTTGTAAGATTGTCTCGGTAGTCGGGCTAGACAGTCTGCATTGTAACTGACAGGATGCTGATGTCTCCAATGCTGAGACAGGCCATTTTTAGTCGAAAACGTACGGTGACATGTTGGGCATTCGAAACTGGAAGTATTCCTGACAACGGCTGTGGTAAGTAAACTCGTAGGGTTTCTGAGATGGGCCGCCAAATGGCGCCGCAGGCCGCTCCTGGATTTAAACGTCCTCGAGCACAGTGAACAAGAGGGAGGCTGGAGTACGTCAGAGATGGTCGCCGGATCGGAGGCGGGAGATTTGGATGTTGATAAAGTAGCTTCAGCAGGAGAAACTCTTCGTCGTGGTGATGGCAGCAACTGAGGGAGGCGATCAAGCAGTACACATGGTTGTCGTGATCCCGATGGTAGGGCTATGGGTGATAAGGGTGAGTGTGTGGGTGACGGGTGGACGCGGTTCCGAGAGCTGGCTATGGAGTCGGCAGAGGCCGGTCCGTTTGATTCGTTGAAAGAGCGATCAGCAAATCCACTGCTCTGACTCTGCAGGGCAGGGGGTGAAGGGAAACAGGTGGGAGCCTGCGCTGCGGGCCGTTCATAGGCCCCTATCCGCGGCTGGGGTGAGGGGGGTGCATCGAGTTGGGCGTGTATAAAATGGCATTCGGGTCATTGGAGGGGTTAAAATCTGGGGCGTTGGTGATAAAAGGGTTGTTGGGCGATCCGGGACGACAGTGAAGGTGCGAAATAGCCGGCTGGCGACGAGTAAAATATTTTCAAGTATAAAGTACGTCCAATTCTTTGTTGCTGTCAGAGGCAGATGATAAGCTGGATGATGTACGAGAGAATGCTGAGGCGGTGGAAGGCGCAACAGGAGCAGAGGGGCGATGTGATCGATTCTCTGGAGTGGGTGACGCGGTCTCTTTGGATGCTAGGGATATCACAGGAAAGCTCGGTGTGTTTTGCTCCGGACTGTGGTTACTGATTGTGTCCTCAGTAATATTATCGGTTACACCCGTCGTGGGTGTTAACGACTGTTGACGTTGGTGGCGATGAAGGCGGCGGCCTGGAGGGCGTTTCCACTTTAGAAATTGGAGCCGTTTCCTTATTGCTGTCATCGTTCGGAAGGGGAGTTTAGTTTGTAAAAGTGACAGAAGTTGCGCTAGTGAAGATACAGATTCGGCTAAATGAGCTGCGTGCAGTAATAACTGAGCATCTTCCTCCGCAGACCAGTGTACTGAGGATATGGCCATTCGGGATGACAGCATGTCTTGGTAAATAGTGGGGTGTGCCTGGCGGCAGTGAGTGGTAAGCGCTCTTGCTGAGGCGAATTGACGATTCCATTGTTGGCATGACGTCACCGGAGCACCGCGCATACGTAGATCGTTGGGATGTCGTTTGTGGTATCCGGTATGACGAGTAAGACCAGCAGCCGTCGAGAAAAGAGCGTGACAGATATTACAGGTGTAATTTTGCAACACAGTGTGAGAAGTCGAAAGTATGGCGGAGGTTGTCATTGTTGGTTGTGGAATGTTGTTTGTTACTCCGTCGATGTGCAGTGATGGGGAATTCATATTTGAGATGTGTGAGTGAATATGTGCAAGGTGCATGAATCCGCGGTCGACTAAAAGAGACTATCCATAGGGCTCAGGCCACAATAAGTGAAAAATAGGAATAAAAGCTAAAGCAGAATAGGGGAAGGGAAATGGTGTAGGCGAGAAGGATAATGGAAGAATTTATAGAATGCACGAATTACCTCAAGTAAAATAATTCGTGCAACATTGCTTGCTCCCTTTGCCCTTGTACAATGGAGGCACAAGGGCATGCTTCAGCTCAGGAGGCACCTCCTCAATCCATATGCGTTGCACCAAGTGGTGTAGCTCAGTCAACAACGCGGGTCCGCCGTGTTTCAATACTTCAGATGGGATCCCGTCACCTCCGGCACATTTGCCGTTTCGCAGCTAAGCAAGTGCTCTCTGCGTCTCATCCAGTGTCGGCGTATCCGCCATGTTCGCCTTCACATCGTGCTGCTTCAGGCCGTTCAATGTAGGCCAGTCGATCTCTGAACGGTTGTTCAAAGTCAAAGTGTTTCCGCCAGATCTGCATTATGTCTGCAGTCTGGGTGCAGGCAGCGCCTGAACTACCATCGATCAGTGTCCTCAGTGGCTCCAATCTCGGTCCATACACCGCCTTCAAGGAGTCAAAGAATTCCTTGTGTTGACGGCGTTCGGCGTAGCATTCCATCTGCTTCGCCTTCTCCGTCCACCATGCATTTTTAATGCGACGGAGCTCTCGGGTCAGTCGCTGTCGAAGTTTGCGAAACTGACTACTCTTTCCCAAGTCACTGGGGTCTGCAACATGTGCAGCAAATGCTGCATTCTTCTCCGACACCAATGCGCCAATCGTCGCATTGTTGTCATCAAACCAATCAGGCCGTTTACAGTTTGCGCGCCCGATGGTCTCCTCGGCAGCAGCTGTCACCTGGTCGCGAATGTGGTGCCACAGGTCGCCCACTGTGGCTATGCAGTCCACATCACCACACAGGCGTGCAGCCATCGTCTTTTCCAGCTCAGTACGTTTCGCCATAGTACCGATGGAGGGAATGTTAAATTTACGCCGATTCACGGCGGAAGTGCAATACATTGATTTACGAAAATATATGTACAGTTTGGTCCGCACCAACTTGTGATCAGTGCCACACTCAGCTCCACGCAGTACACGTGTCATGCGCACTTCACGCATATCACGTTGACGTACGATGACATAGTCGAGCAGGTGAGCGTGACCACTCTGTGGGTGCGTCCAAGTTGCTATATCACTCGCACTCAGTGCAAACCGAGTGTTCGTGATCGTCAGGCCGTGAGTGGCACACAGTGAGAGCAGCCTGTCACCGTTCGCATTCGCTGAACCAATGCCATGCGCACCGATAACATCTATCCACGCTGATGCATCACGCCCAACGCGCGCGTTGAAATCACCCAGCAGAAATAGTCGGTCGCTCCTCTGCACAGACTGTATCACGGAGGATATCTCAGTGTAGAACTGATCACGCGTGTCATCAGGATAACACATGGTCGGAACGTACGTGCTTATAAAACTAGCAAACTTACCTCTTCCGAGTCGTAGGCGAACAGTCATCAGTCGCGCACTGATGCCCGTTGGTGCACCCACCAGCTGGCCATGGAGGCGATCGCATATTGCAAATCCGACCCCATGTTCACGTGGTGCTGAGGCGGCGTTGCCCACCCAGTAGAATGTGTAGCCAGCACCTGCTTAATGCAACTTACCTTGCTCAGCGAGCCGAGTTTCACTAAGCGCCGCAATATCGATGTTGTAGCGCGCCAGCTCCATCGCGACCAGTGCAGTGCGTCGCTCCGGGCACTGGCTGGAGTTCCGGTCCAGTAGTGTGCGCACGTTCCAGCACCCGATGCTGAGTGCTTTGCGCGCAGGCATACGATTGCATTGGTAGGCAATCGCATGCGAGGTGGTCGTTGTGCTTCGGAGGTTTGCTTGAGGGACTCCACCCGGAGCCTTTGGCTCAATAGCCTTACCTACAAGGCAGTGGGTGATTTGGAGGTTTGCTTGAGGGACTCCACCCGGAGCCTTTGGCTCAATAGCCTGACCCACAAGGCAGTGGGTGGTTTGGAGGTTTGCTTGGGGGACTCCACCCGAAGCCTTTGGCTCAATAGCCTGACCCACAAGGCAGTGGGGAGCAGATCCAGCTCGGGAATGTGATTGCAGAGACAGATGGGGATCTGCTTGACGGCCGTCACACGCAGCCTTTGAGGTACTGGAACAATTATTATATGTATTGCGACCGTAGTAGGATACGAACCTGCGACCACGGCCAGACGCAGGTGGGTTTTTGGCGGGTTTGCATCAATTTGACCAGGGGCTGCCTGGCTTGAGGCGGGCATTAACAAACAATTGAACACCCGGAGGTGTCCTCCCACCGTCAGAGACAATGCGTGGCCCTCGTGCTCTACGCCAATCGAGCTGTGAGCTTATAACCCGTAAACCTGTTGTCTCCCATAGCTAGGTTTTACGGGAAGAGGGCCATCGACCACTTCCTAACCTCCGAAGAGGATGGACTAGGATACTGGCAGGGCGCCCACGCCTGACAGGAGAACGACTCGGGTCCTCAGCCAAAGCTTTCGATTAAATGAACACCCGAAAGGCAGCGGGTCTAGCACATGGTCAGTTAGCCGACTCATGCGGATTGGTGTCCTGGATCTTAGCAGGGAGAATGGCGAAACCCAACTCCCACCCAGCGGTCGCCACGTGGAGGCGCCCAGGACATGAGACTATGGCGCAACAGTAGCAGCAGTGGGTAGATTATCTGCCAGGATCTAGCCACCACCAGCCTCAGCGCACCATTTAAACTGCCTACCTAATATATATATATATATATATATATATATATATATATATATATATATATATATATATATATATAAGGTAGACAGTTTAAATGTGACAACTAATACAGTGCAGAATGGAATAGTTCTTTACCAAACCCTAACTGCCTGGTGTCAATGATGCGCAAGAAATATGAATGATGCTCTGCATATACCGGTGGTCAGAGACGACAGAGCTCTCAGTGTCTTCAAAGTGTGATGGCAATGCTTCTGATACAAAAGGCTACACACACAGTGTTTCACGTGCATAATTGATCAGAGAAATAAGGGGGCCTTTTGTGGTAACACAGGAAAGTATGAATATAGAAGCAGTGGACTAAGTTTTGGGAACATGAATTTGAACTATGTGCAGCATAGAGTGCAATCCAATATGTAGTGCAGGCTTACCATTGGATCCAGTAAATACTCCCCATCAATATCACTTATATCGTATCGTAAACCGACAAGGAGTGGATCAGTATTCAAGCGCTGAAGATGATCCGGAAGACCTGGATCGGATAAATCGCACCATCCGACATACCCAGCGATGCAGTAATAGTCCTCTGCCATAGAGGATACCATTAGGCTCTCCGAGTAGGTGGAAGCCACCTAGAAACGGAAAAAAATGAAGGGACCAAATGAATAGACTGAACGGGATCTCTGCAAACGCACGTGAATGACATCAAATGACAAACGGGAATGGAGAAATATCGCGTGATAAAAAATAGAACCAAATAGGGAAGGGAGTGCAGGAATGTGTATTTTTCCAGCAATCCAGGAGAAAGCCTAACACGACATAAATTTAAATTAGTAGGGAGAATTAAAATAGCCGAAATGGAGTTCAATGAATCTTGGTAGTCAACGAACGGCGAAATGCTGCTCAGTTTAGGGATAAAATAGGGTCAAAGTTCGATTAAAAAGTAACTACTCATGTTACGGCAGTAGTGGACAGATAAGAATAAATAAAAAAATATTTAAATCATGACACGAGGCACGCCTATACAGGCATGATAACATGCAACAAATGACGGAAAAATGTACAAAATTACGTTTTAGCCATAGTAGTTAATGTATATTTGTGAATGTTGCAATCATGATGCTTCTTCACTGCAGTTGGGCTAAACCAATTTACATGTAAACTAGGTCTTTTTAATGTGAATAAAATTCATTCCACTTTAATTGGTTTGTTCTGCGTACCTGACAACCTTCACCTAACTTGCACAAGTCGCTCATGCTAATTGTGGTAAACTTGCGCGAAGTTATCACGTGGTAACTTTTCAATAACCTCCGGACATTTTGCACTTACCGTGGATCCGCTTAACATAAATTTCCTCCATATGCTCATTTAGCAAGTATTTATGTCGTCATATACGTTTACTGTACTCGATATCTTTCCTTGCATACCGGCATTTCGAATGATTAGCTGATGTTTGACATCTCAGGTGTAGCTGCGCTAAATGTGCATGTTGACAAGGTGCCTACCTGTCTATTACCCACTACCTCATCCATACTGGCTTCAAGAGACAGTTGGCCGTTGCTGAAGGGGACGGGGTGCACGGTCCTTGTGGCCGTGTTAGGATCAAAGAGTGGTTCCATGCACTCAGTGTGGAGCGGACTACAGTCCAGCCACCGCCTTGTGTGCGCCTGATTCCCCAAATACAGCGTGCTTGTGTTTGCCTGTGAAGGAGTGTGGGCCAGCTCCGTTGATGAAACGTGGCTCCCATCCGCATGTCTCCCGGTCTCATTCCTTCGGGTTTACACTGGATATGGGGTGTGTGGATGGAACTGTGGGTGGTGCAGCGCAAGCCATCCATGGTCCCTCTGTAGGCGCAAGCGTCCTGCGGCTGGCCACAGTGGCAGGCAAATCCGAAACCGGATACCGCCAACCATATGTACGTAGGTGGATGCAGCTGCATTTTCGACCGTTTGATCGCGTCGCAAATGTGTGACGTCCGTGGATTGCATGTGCTTATCCGGATCAGGAAGGGGCAGTGACTTTAGTCTGTGGTAAGTCACATCCATCACGTCACAGTGTTGTTAGACAGACATTTGTGGCTTTTTAAAGGAAGAATGCTTGCCAGGCGAAAACTCACCACGTCCTGGAACACTGCCGCCGAACTAGTTGCTGCAATGGAGCAAACCCGAACCACCCAGCTGGCATCACGGAGAGGTTGTTCGGCTAGCCAGTGGCAATGCTAGTGAAACGGTGATAAAGAGTGATTGTGCCTGGATGCGGTGCCCAAACCGCGTCAACTGAAATGCGTGCTTAATGAGTACTGACTTGAATCCAACCAAAATGAACTTGGCGAAGAAAAGCAGATTATCGAGAAGCTTACAGCAAACAGAAACCATATGGTTATAGCAAGGAATGGATCAAAAACTGTCGAATGGAAGCCGCGAGACTGCAGATATACAGGTGAAATCAACGCTTAAATTTGATGTAATTAATTGTGAGCTCTTCATCATATATGCTAATTCCGATAGTGGTCCCCACAACCGAGAAAGCAATAGATGGCCGGTGCACGCTATTGAGACTCGTCCGTAGTTTGCATGCTTGTCTCCGATAGGAACCGAAACCTAGACTCCTCGAGACCAGCGACTTGCACTACTAGTACTATGCCACTAGGCAACAAGGCACGGTGGCGGCAGACCACCATGATTGGCAAGCCACATGAGAGAAAGCCCAACTGATACTTCAATGTCTCACAAGTTACGAGCCTTGCAGAGGACAGAGACGGCCCTAAGAATCACGCGATTTCATGCCTTCTCTGCGGGAACAGAGCGAAACCAAGCATGAAACGAGAAAACAAACGAACCGCAAGTAAGTCAAGAGGATCTCTGGAGTTCGGGCGTAGGTTACGCAATTATCACGCTCCAGGTTGGAAAGCGCGTCTCGCATGAATTTGAGCAGCTTAGCATTGTTCCGACCCGTGGGCAAGCGCTCGTGGTCGAATGATGCACTTTGGATACCCCATTTCCATTTCACAGAGAATGCTTAAACACTTAGAGAATAAACAACGGAGGACACAGCTTATTCCTTTGACAAACAAAAAAAAACAAGACGAACCACATTGCCAAAAACACTTGCCTGAACATGGATAGCGTAGCGGATGGGTGAGAGTTCGCCAATGTCAAACTTGATCTCATTCTCAGCACGCGTTCGCATATACTTCATCTCTTCTTCATAATCATCAGCAGTGTAGTCCCGCTGTAATCGTCGACCCCATGCTGCAGTAGGTGGCGGAGGCATTTTACCACCAAGATATAACTGACTCAAGCTCACTCTGGACGATATGGTCCAAGTGGAGAAATGTGCATCAATGTACGGCGGTTGTTTTGGTGTCCATGCCTCACGAGCGGCTTGAGTGGCTTCTCGTTCATCTGTCCGTTCAAATTCGATTTGTTCATTTGCCTCGGCTTTCGCCTCAGCGAGTAGATCTGGTTTATCGGTTCGTGCGTGAAGTTGTTCGTATTCTGCTCTGCACAGTGGGCCAATAAAGCCCTCTGGCACGGAACTTTTGGCCTACAATAAACAACATTCGAACGAAATCAGCCTTTTGCTCAACAATAACCAGCAAGGATTCGTTTTGATCGTGTAAATTAGGCTTGTCAGACGATAATCCTAGCGAAATTTGAAAAAAACGCAAACGGCGCATAGACAGTAGTAGAGGTAACAAACTTGTCTCGTAATCTTGCGGTGCGGGTTCGAATCCGCGTATAGGTGGTCGTCCTCGCGGTATACTCACCCGGCGTGCAACTGGCGGTGGTCGCACGGCAGCGAAGCGCCGTTACGGCGTACAGCTGACACATTACATTATAATTATTTAGTCGTGATAAAGCTAAAACGTCCATCATCAAGTTGAGTTTAACTACAGTGTGGTCAAACGTGTTAAGTGCGCCTTGAGTAAAGCGACTTTATGAGAACATGGTGTGGATTTTGCGTTGTTCTTTGACTTCGAGAACTCGAAGTCGCTTACGAGGCTGTGCGAACCGGGCCCTTGAAGTCACAATAATGATGCTGCCTGGTCGGGAAAAAAACGTCTGATAATTAATCATTCCACTAGAAGAACAATGCAAAATCCCCATCCGACTCCGAGCTAAAGATATCCACAACTACTTCAAGAGAAATTATTACTGTCACTATTTGATTTCAATAACACGAGCATTATGAAAATTCTGGAAGAACAGAAAGTGTTAAAACTGTCAGATGGGTGGGTAGGCACCGGAGACAGGTGAATGAACGCTATAGAGTCACTGAACACGAATGCGTCACACGAGATCGGTGTGGCCGATCTCTGAACCCCACCACAGGAGACGGAAGTGTTAAAAATCTAGGACTCACGGTTAAGCATCTACCTTTCTTTATCATGTCCTTGACCAGGCCCCGCGGTTTCCCCAAGCTGATCATAATATTGATAGACAATATAAACTGAGATAACTATATTGTATGTATGCAAAGAATATGATCACGAGTGGATGCGGTCCGAATTCAGCAGACACTCTGATGAGACCGGGGGAGGTTGTTCATTCGATACGCTTAGGGGACAAAAGCATCGCCACAGCGACAAATCTAGCAGACCGACCTTATTGTCTTCGTAGCCATGAGGAGTTAATCAAGATATTCTAATGATGTTTGTCATCTATTCCATTATTTCCGAAGTTCAGCTAGGTCGAATGTCTAACTACATAGTTATGAAACAACGAAAGCGCCAAACTGAATTAAAAAATGAGCTGGCCTGAGTATGAATCTGTCACATGTTACGAAAAAATTGCCCGTCACGAAAGATTCTACTAGAACGTTATATGGGAGACAACAATAGTACTCTGTTCCCAAACGAATTGGCGCTTTACAACAATTCGCTGGAGTAAAGGTACCGTTGAAGAGTTTTGTGAACTCTTCATAAGAGATTGTTCAACAAAGTCATCATAGGCACTTAAGTCAATTTCCGATCCATCAAACCTGAGAGTAACTAAATTCGGAAGTGACTTATTTGTCTGTGAAAGTTGCCATTCTGTTTAATCCACCCAGTGATGCTTCGCAAGTTGGCAAAAACAGGTGAGCAATCCAACAGTAGAGTAATTTGTTTAAACAGTAGTGTGCACAGGCAGATGTACATAATCGGAAGCGCGATGTGTATTTTGGATCAACCGACAAGATTGTATCAAGGGGTGCGATGTGTGGTCGATTCCGTTCTAAAGAGGATTCCATAAAGTTGGATACATTTGGATAGTCAAAGCACCTGTAAATATCCTACTAAACTGCTAATTTTGGTTATCTTTATGGAAGATAGGATTTGGTTGAAGTAGCTGCCTTTGATGGATTCCGTAGTGCTAACGGTGTAAGATGTCCACAACAAATGTAAAGCACTGCATTTTCAGCAGACAAAACAACGGGAGCTTGCTTCGTTTCGCTGAAGCCTCTGCCACCCGACGAATGAAACTAAACCTTTGAAAACAGGTAGACCTTGTGACCAGTCTTGCTTTGCCCTGGTAAGACGCAGGCGATGACCTTGATTTGCTCAGTGTTGATTGATTTTCTTATTGACCCTTTTTCAATTGCAATTCTTTACTCTTTCCATAAATTGTCTGTAAGCGGCTGGATGAGAAGACACGAAATAATCCGAATTCAGGTTATCCCGTAAAAATGCTGTTCGTTCTTACTGTCATAAAACCTTGAATGAGTCATGAAATACAAGTGCACAAGTGCGGCTAGGCATTGCGACATAGTCGAAACACACTTTTGTTGTCGAACATAGCTCTCACGCCCCTGTGAAGAATGCAGACATCGAGATTGGAATCTGAATCACATACCGGAAGACTCGCTATAAAGCTACTGTCCTTATGTGTCAATGTGTGTGTGACGAAGACAGCTTCAAAATGTTTTGGAAAACTGGTAGCTCGGGTTGATAATTCAGTTGCTCATTTGTTCGCCGAGCTGCGAAATTGGTTTGCAAACGTTTAACCGTCATGCGAGACAGCATCATCAGTGCGAAGCTTCATCCGAAGGTGTCTGAACCACAACAAACCAGACAGTCTACACCAACGACGGAGAGACGCGTTGTTTTACCTTATATGAAGAATATATCCGAAATGGCAGCAAGACTATTCAAACAACATCACTTCATCGTAGCACACAAACCAACTGCTAAACTGAGAAAAACTCTGTCGAAACCCAAAGAGAAACTGGAAGCTCATGAGCAAAGCAATGTTGTATATAGACTACTTTGTAGAAATTGCGAAAAGGACTATGTTGGCCAAACAGGCAGAAAATTAACAACACGATTACAAGGGCATAAAAGAGCATGCAAAAGACACTATGCATCGTCACTAGTCTCAGCACACGTGGACGAAAAAGAACACAGCTTTGATTGGGCCAAAACAGAAGTCCTGGCACGAGGTGAAACAAGAAGAGCAAGGGAATTCCTAGAAGCGTGGTTCTCAACACAAGACTCGATCAACATACATATCGAGATTGACCCAGTTTACCAACCCCTCCGACGGAGAGAACTTAGAGAAATTATGAGACGTCGCTTGAATAGGAACAACCCAAGCGACGACCTCCGCCACGGGGAAATGGGTCGAGATCACGGGACACAGATCGAAGCCGTCACTTTCGAAATGTCACCTGCACGCCGATCACGGGTCGACAATTCAATCAGCGAGATTACACCCCACATCTCGACGCACTGATGATGCCGTCTCGCATGATGGTGAAAGGTTTGCAAACCAATTTCGCAGCTCGGCGAACAAATGAGCAACTGAAGACAGCTTCAGTTCAGATATTCGAATATGAGCCAAGGAACAAAGTGCATTGTACCCGGGTGTCACGGGTCACATCGTGAGATTATGAACGATTAATAACAAAGATAGGCTAGAACGAGAAAAAATTAAATAGTGATGAGATTGAGATTAAGTTGGCAAGATTGATCATGATCGAAAGTCAGTGAGTAGATTCAGAAGACCGAATATAGGAGTATCACTGACTCCGCGACTTTATACTCGATGCGACCGATCCCGAAGCCTATCAGGCACACAAGCTCCATGATATATCGGACAATTTCATCACACGTTTTCAATATGTTATCGCTTTTGAGATTTATCGCAGCTAGACTCCGTCAGACAGCTACCAGACATACAGGAAAGCGCTAGACCGCCGCTTCGTTCTATCGATACTCATCAGTGGCACGAACCTGTCGAATTCTGCAGGATTCGAACCCATGACCTTACCCTTACGTACCAGCGACTTATGCCAATGAGCCACGGGCGACGGTGGAGCACCACCCTGACTGGTATCTAACTGCGAGATAGCGTGGCCCATTCTCCCTGGTCACGCATGGCATGAACGCGCAGAGGAGAGGGCTGGCACCCATAGATAAATGGCAAAAGTCGCTGGCTCGTGAGGGTAAGAACATGGGTCCCAATCCGGCTCAATTCGACGGGTACGCGCTATTGACGAGTGTTAATGGGACGAAACGACCGTCTAGTGCTTTCCTGGATGTGTGGAGACTGTGACGGCGTGCAGGTGCGGTTAATCCTCTCAGGTGCACAACGAACTTCCCTACTACTCACTAATGTCGTCAACGGGCGGCCTTTCGGCTTCACCCAACCACGAGATCAGTAAACACCGAGTTAGGCAAGCAAAAGTCACAAAAAGACGAAATTACCGCAGAGAGGTAAAGTGCAGAAGGAGGTCTGGTGACGTACCAGCAGATCTGCTGCGAAACACCACCTGATGGACATCACTACTAATTATTCCGTAGTTCTTCAGATACTAGCAGCCCCGCAGTCATCGATGAACAAGGACGATCAGTCTCTCAACGCATTAAATGCGTGCTGAGGAGGGCTCGCTTCAGCAATACTGTCTCCACGCGGCGGCTCAGATTGCACAGGTAGCTTCTGCGCTCTCCTCCTCAAAACCACAACATGCGTTGACTCAACCTAGCTATCCAGTCACACTGACCTCAATGGAATTTCCTCAGGACACTGCCACTACGTGGCAAACCATCGGAGACATAAAGATTCATCTTCCTCTGTAGCCGATGCTCAACGTTGCTATGCTTTTGAACTATAAATAGGAAGTAGACAATGCATGAGTTACCTTTGGATGAGCCAGCAAACGAACTCTTGCTAACGACCGGTCTTTCTTTACTGGATCTCGATGCAGTCCAGTGGGGTGACGTGTTTCGTCTTCAGTCTCAGCTCGAGTGTACATACATGTAGCAACAAGATAGCTAGGAATATACTGCTCCGAATTCAAATGGCTACCATGTGCACGCGGGGTAAAAGACGTGATAAACGTTTCGCCCGTTCCCGCAAGAGGAATCAAAACAACAGGACGTTTATAACATCTACTTCGCAAGCGATATCTGAGTAATAAGAGAAACGCATGCAGACCATCACAAAGCGAATGGTAACACCTGCGGTGGTTATCAGATGACAGACTATAGAGATTCCTAGAAAAGCGAGCGATTAGACTAGATAACTTCGTTCGGTGATCGGAAATACTAATAATGTCCAGTCCTGTAGGTACGTTGGTTTTGGGGTTTGAGCTGTTCTCCGAGCTGTGATTATTGTGCAGATGTTTCGTTGCCTAACTAGGCAACATCATCAGTGCGGCTTCAGGGGCCTGGTTCGCAGTGCCAGGCTTCAATGAACTAACGTGTTTGCCAGCTTTTAGCCCTTCCGAGGATATTGGCGTGCTCTAGGTCGAAAAGATGGTTCTCGGCATCTATATGCACTGACATCAGGGAGTTCTGATAGTGGCGACGAATGACTAGTTTGTGTTCGTGTAGTCTTGTGCCAAGTTTACTTCCATTCTGTTCCACGTAGTATTTGTCACAGTTCCAGCAGCAGATCGTATAAATCCCACTAGTTTCTTCCTCATTTGCTAAGTTTATCTTTCACTTTTAAGAGTTTACTGCGAATGCTTTCCGTTGACTGGTGTGCAACTTTGACTCAAAAAGCATTAAAAGCCTTGTTGCCATGTCAGAGATTCCGTTGATATAGGGCACAGGTGCTCTCTTTTCAACTGTTGCATTTGTCGAGGTGTGCCGAGCAGCCTTTTGTGGTGCGAAGCAGCGTAGAATGAAACCTTTTGGGTACCAGTTCCGCTTGAGCAGACATAAGAGATGATCTTCTTCTGCCCGTCTCAGCTGCGGTGTGCTACAATGGGCTTGTGCTCGTTTGAAAAGAGTTTGCACACAGGTGCCTTTGTGGGCTGCCGGATGATTGCTGCCGTAGTTAAGGATCTGATCGGAATACGTAAATTTCTGGTAGACTGTTGTTTCCAATCGTTCACCACCTATCCGTCGTATGAGAACGTCTAAGAATGGTAACTGCTCGTTGTTCTCCTCCTCCCTGGTGAATTGGATGCCATCGAACACACTGTTGATTAGTTCGTGTGTTCCGTCCAATATGGAACGCTTCGAATATGAGGAAGGCGTCGTCTACGTATCGTACCCAAATCTTTGGTCTCGTGATGGGAAGTGCTATTTGTTCCAGCGCCTGCATCACTGCCTCGGCTACCAGACCAGAAATCGATGATCAAATTGATGTGCCTCTTATCCGTTGGGAAATTTGGCCACTGGAAGTGAAATGCGGTGTAAAACGGAATTCCAATTACTCCATCATCTATTTGGCGTCGAGTTTACTGCTTGTATCAGACGGCGTGTGCTCCTCTAGCAGATGCGCTATTGTTGGTTTCGCCAACCTAACGTCGATTGAGAGGAACAAGGCAGTAACATCGAAAAAGACCATTATTTCGTCCTGTTCAATGGCTGAGGTTTTAAGTTTCTCAAGGAACTGTTCTGCCGAGTTGATCGAGTGTTCCGACCCCAGGATTACGTGTTTTAGCCGTCTCCAGAGCTCCTTTGCAAGCCTGTAATTTGGTGCTCCAGGTAACGACACGATGGGGCGAAGCTGCGCTCCGCTTTTGCGTACTTTAGGTAAGTCATAGAACCGCGGTAGTACCGAGTCTTGTGGTAGCATTATCTTGCGTTCCAATTTTGTGATTTTCCCCATTTGTTACAGATTTTGCAGAGTGCGTCTCACGTTGCCTTTTAAGCGTTATGTCGGATCGTTGTTTATCGGCTAGCATGTGTTTGTAACACTGAGTAGGTGTTGTGCTTTCAGCATTCAATCAGATTTGTCCATTACAACAGTAAGGCTGTCTTTATCGGCCGGCATTACAACTATGCTCCTGTTTTTATTGAGGTTCTCCAGAGCTTTCCGTTCAGTAGTGTTGAATATGTTGGTTTCAGCTTTATGGCGGAGAGGCAAGATGATTCTGTATCTGACGACTTGTTGTGCTTCAGGCGCTTTTAGGGTCGATTCAAGTGCAGAAAGGAAGTCGATGGGATAGGAGTCCTTAACATCGAGTTGCATACCTCAGACGATGACTGCTTTCTCCGCGTCCGTTGATGTTTCGTGACGTTTCTGACAGACCCTGGCAGTTGGTCGCACTAGACATTTTTGCTCATGACGGAAGGAACTAGTTGATCGTGGTAGATTATTTTAGTGACTACTTCGTGATCGATGCTCTTACGACGACTAGAACGCAGGCCGTGGTGAACAAGTTAAGGTGCTAATTCGCCGGCATGCAATACCCAAGATGGTGATTCCCGACAATGGAGCACAATTTGATAGTGCCGGGTTTCGCGCCTTCAGCAAGAAGTGAGATTTTCGTCCCCGGTTAACAAGAACATACAAAAGTCAATCAAAAGGTAAAGCCGAGTCCGCAGTGAAGGGGGCGAAGAAAGTGCTTACAAAAGCCAAAGAAACTCAAGAAGATCCATACCTAATGCTACTGGATCAAAGGAACACGCCAGCTACAGATATCGGAGCGTCCCGCACAGCGCCTATTCAGTCGTCGAACAGGAACGCTAATACCGACCGTTACAACACTACTTCAGCCCGAGATAGCACCGGTCGGTGTTCTTCATGACCGACTACGGAACAGAACGCTAAGGTCAAAAAAATACTATGATCGCGGATCGAAAACCCTCCCAACACAAGCTACGGGAGAAGGGGTGTGGATGCAGCCAGTACCGGATTTCGAAGAATGCTGGCGGAGGGGAGAGAGAAGCTATGAAGTCAAGATTTGGGAGCAATATCATTCGACTGAATCGGGTGCAAATGAGAACAGCGCGTCATGAGTGGAGACCGCAAAGAGAGGATCAGCGACAATAACCGGAGAGGAGTCCAGATGGTCAAGCCCAAGACATTAAACGCACACGCAGTGGAAAGCAATACGGAACACATTGTAACGCCATTCAAAAAATTGAAAGAGGAAGGGATGTGATGGGAGCTGGAAATGCTATGGTACCGGTAGGCAAATGGCAAATCGAAGGCCACCGGGCATCTTGCGGAGTACCGAACAGGTGCAATTCAGCCCGACAGAAAATGAGTATATCATGGGAAGCAGATTGGTCAGCCGAGCAGCAAATGGTTGGCACACTCCCGAGTCGAGCTCCGCAAATGCATCCGGCAAACATCCACTGAATGTATAAGTGATCAATTATGCGTTAGCGAGTTCCAAAAGCACAGGCGAAGTAGCGTGTACCTGTGATGAGCGTATTGGTGTGCAACTGAGCCAAGGTTTGTAAGATTGGACCGAGGAGAGAAGCGCGCAGGCTGATGGATGAGTACCCAATCGTGCAATCCACAAAGAAAGACAAAGCAATTTTAGACAGAATAAATGTTGCGAGCAAGTGTAAACAAATGGAGTTGTAGCCAGTAACAGAATGCAAATAACAAGGAGGAGCCAATGAAGCGGACTGTTGCAAAAAGTGTATATCCTCTGTAAATATGCGACCGTACTCTTAATAAACGACTTCGTGATCGCGGCATGGTCGTCTTGCTTCCCGGAGGGCTACCCGACAATGCCCATCTCGGCTTACATTGTATCCCGTCGGCTAGTATCTCAAAGGGTCAAAAGCCTGCCTGGTAAACAGGGGAGAATGGTTTTAGCCTGCATAAAGGGACAGGAGGATTTCGTCTGGCAAGACGGAGCAACGAAGGCGATTTCTCATATACAGCAATCCAGGTCAGCAGGGCGCTTCTGGCATCTAGCTGTCAGCATTTCATTTCGATGAGCATTAATAAACTATTTTCTAATCCAATTATCAGAATATTCCTCGTGTTCACTATCACTTTGTTATCTAAGTTAGGTGTAGTTATCCCAGCGACGCCGGTTTTTCCAAATGGATACCATGTGGTTTGACGTCCGGAGCACAGTTGTTTTATTGAATTGATAGGGCTGGCATGCGGTGCAGAAATAAAAGAGTTCAATATAACGTGAAAACTGTAATCAAAAGAAAGCGGGAAATTAAATGTAGATTGTAGATTTGAAGGGAGACCTTGTTTGATTGTTGCAATGAGACACAAAAGTGGAGGAAATGTGGTGCTTTTAAAGCAGATGGGAAGTCTATGATTAAATATGAAGAACAGTGATAGATGAGAAAGGTTTATATCACATAAGGGCGTTAAAGTAACTGAGAAACACTCAATAGTGACCGTATGCCACGTCGAAATAACGCATTTACTACAAGTATTGGTGGGGTGAATCAAATTGCAAACCAAAAAGAAGCGCGTAAGCACACATTTTCTAAGAGAACAGCGCAAACATCACCACAGATACAGCAAGAATAGGACAACGCACAGAGGCAAGATGATCAAAGGAGTAAGTTAGAATAACTATGTATTTACATTCAGAGTCAAAGTGCGGTCGTACAAACATACGGAGGCGAGTAAAGCAAGTGTAACAATACATCCGTTGTGTACAGGAAAGGCGTACCACAACAGTTCGTCTAAGGGGTGCAAATCTGTGCGATAACGAAGCAACCAAAAAGGGTCGAGGTGTCAGTCGACAGTTCGCACATAATAGCACAATAATTGTTGGACGAAACGACGTGGTAGTCAGAATGAAGTAGCACTCGGCGACCTTGAGATCGAAGATAATCACAGATGAGTAGGTGGAGGTGGGTGCACGGAATACAAGGGAAGGACAGTACGGTGAGATCAAATCAAAGCCGGTTGCACTGGTAGACGGAGTAAAACTTCCGGCGGCTCATTACGGTAGTATTTCACCTTCTCAAACGTCCCAGTTGAATAGTCCATGTGTAGGTAGGTGTCGGCGGCCACATCTACAAGCTGGCCGGTGGCCTGATTCAGTACACATTCACGATATTCGCTCAGACGAATACGTACGGTATTCCCTGCTTCCGGATTAGGATTACCTGAAACAAGCACATGAATGATAGTTGGCTTTGAAAACAGAGCCGTGCAGATCAGTAAAAAGAAACGTTGGAAAAAAAGCAGTGCTTAACAAAAGTAGCATTAAACATGATCGCTTATAACTAAAGTAGGTGGATGTGAAACAAAGCTCAACGTTACCTTAGATACATGGTGCTCAAGCTACGGCCCTAAGAACCTTCGACAGATCTGGTACTTTTAAGTGAGAAAATACTGTAAACTTTGTTCGTTTCGCTTTCAATAAACTCACTGTTTTCAGGATTAGTAGGCGGAATCCGGTTTCGGATTTGTCTGTCAATGTGGCCAGCCACAGGACGCCTGTGCCTACAGAGGGACCATGGATGACTTGTGCTGCAACATCCACAGTTCCATCCACACACCCCATATCCAGTGTAAACCCGAAGGAATAAGACCGGGAGGCATGTGGATGGAAGCCACACATCAACAACAGAGCCAGTCCACACTACTTCACAGGCAAACACAAGCACGCTGTATTTAGGAACTCAATCCCACACAAGACGGTGGTTGGACCGTAGTCCGCTCCACAATGAAGTGCATGGAACCACTCTTCGTCTAGCACTACCACAAGAACCGTGCACCCCGTCCCCTCCAGCAACGACCAACTGCCTCCTGGTGGCAGTATGAACGAGGTAGTGGGTAATATACAGGTAAGCACCTTGTCAACACGCACATCAAACGGGGATATCAAGCAACAGCCAATCACTTGAAAATACATTACCAAGTAAAATATATCTGTTAAAGAATACGGCTATGCAGACATAACTCTTCGCTAAACTAGTATATGAAGTAAGTTGGTTAGCAATGAATCCGCGATAAGTACAAAATGTCCAGAAGTCACTCAAATATGCCACAAACGCGATAAAGTTAACGAAGATAAGCGCAATTAGCGTAAGCAACGTGGCCAGTTAATAGATTATTCAGGTAGGCAGAACAAACCAATTAGTGGAATGAACTTTATCCAGCTTAAAAAGACCTAGTTTAAGTGTAAGTTGGTTTAGCCCAGCTGCGGTGAAGAAGCATCATGAATACAACATCAGGCTCAGCATGGGGCAGGATTTGTACCTAGAGTACTATCAATCAGATTGACGCCATAGATCTGGTGTTGTTGGTGGTAATACTCGTGTAAAACTGTAAAGAGGCACGGCTTCAATTCAGAGCTCTCTGAGCTTGTGGAACGGTTGCAACGGACACCATGAGTTACCAACTGAAGCGAAAAGTAGACCATGAATGTAGGATATTTCGAAAAGCATGGACAAATGATTTCATTTTGTTCAACAACGACAAGGCGCTTTGTTTACACTTAAATAAACAGCCGCTGTTCTGAAGGAACGTGATGGGAAGACATCACGATACAAATCACAAGGCAAGTTGATTTGTCAAGTCTACGGCGATGTAAAATTATTCGAAAAGAAGTTGTAGCGCTTCATTTAACATGTACAGAAAGAAACTCTAGTGCAATTTCTTATTTGTTCAAAAACGCAGTCAGATGTATCAACAGCCGGTATGTTCCACCCAACACACCGCATGGTTGAGATGCTGTACCTCTTGAAGAACAACTTCAAGAATTCCAACATACTAGTGAAAAAATACCATTGCCTGAAAACCCGTTTAGTATTGGTTGGTACAGCTGTGCTACCTAATTTACCATTAGGATTGTTTGATCTACAGTGCTCAACAAACTTGCAGCCCTTGTATCGCGGCTGATTTTTAATCACTTCTCTCTTTGAATGTGTGCTCGAATCTTCGTCATTACGCCACTAAAATGACAACGATATTTGCAAGCACGTATATATGTGAACAAACATTCCCATAATGAAGTGAACCAAGTCGTATCGTCGTTAACGGCAACATATTGTCATCCCCACGAATTCTTATGAATGTTAGTCACCTTGAACAGAACATGAAGTAGCTTGCGTCTGAGATACAGGAACAATCCTCACGTTGATGCTTAACGATTCGAGACTGAAACGAGCAACATATTTAACCTGGTTGGAGCGAGACTGTGCGAGTAAAATCGTTAACTCGACTATTTTGTTGCTTCATCATATCTGCATGCATCGGAGAAGGGGGTAGTTCCAGATCAAGGAATTCCGAGAGACATATATTATTAGAGTGGGGGATGTATCCGGTCCACAGGCATGTTCTCTGGCCCGCAGCCTCAAAAGGTTGATCACCACTGATCTAAACTATAACAAGTAGAAACTACATCCGAATGGGTCGGTGAATCGACGCGAACGGTCGCAGAAAGAAAGCACCTAGACAATTATGTCAACAAAAGGAAGATCAACAATAGCTACTGGAAGCCATCGTCATCGATCAAGAACGTCTATCGACGTGCACATAAAAACAGTTGATTGCGGCGATAAGTCTAGCTTCGTAGCGCAAGTGCTTGGCCATGTACGACCATTGTGACAATGTTTGGGTTTGTCTATCAATGTCACACGTCTGTGATTGATAAGATTGCACGAAATAACGGCATCACTACAAAAACTACGTATCCTGATTTGCTTGTATGGAAATATAAAAGGAGTTTATTGTTTCAAATGGTAGTAATGTTCGTTCAAATGAAGACTTGTTCTCAAAGACCACCAGTTCGACGTAGAGCACGCCGAAATACTCGGAAGAACCACAATCCGGCAAGCACATGAGTTTATTGAGGCCTGGCATTCAAAACAGAACTCAGTGAATAAACACATAGATCTCGAAGTTGCTTACGAGACTCTGCGAAACAGAACCTTAAAGCCGTATTGACGATGTTGCCTAGGCTGGCAGCGAAAAGTCTGCAAAATAATCGTTCAGCTCGGAGAGCAGTGCAATACAACAAATCCATATCCCGAGCTATGGATATTCTCAACCATTTCCCTAATCGGAAGACCGTGACTAAGTTGGCTGAACGCAATAGACTACCGCGGCATGTAAACGGCGCGGTAAACTAGCCAAAGCATGTGTGTTGTAGTACAAAAGGTCAAGTAAGCGTTTACGAGAAACGGTTTAAAGGAGTAGCGACGCAAATTGACTCGTAGTGCATATTTCGTCTGCACTGTCATCATCATCATCATCAACAGCAGTACATCAGCCATGTGAACTGATGCTTCGCTGCCATAAAGAATAAGAAGAGGGGGAGAAGGGGGACTTACCTGAAAACCTTAATGCCCTAAACAAACATTCAGGGTCAAGATGCATACACAGATGCCTACACAATATACCGTCACTAACAGCTGGTTATCGTGCAAAGCTAAGGCGGCATCGGCGAGACAGTTTCCTTGCGGCTTTCACTGCCACGCGTCATAATCAGCCATTACCCCGCAGATAACTCAGCACCAAACACACTTGAAACAGGCAATCCGATTAGGAGACAACAGCAGACGCGTCACTGGTGTCGGTTGCGAGCCATATCCTGTAAAGTCTCGAGCCAAGCACAAGGACTCCATTCCGGAAGGCGAGACGGAACAAAGGCACACAGTTTGATCGTCAGGGACTTCATTTCCCGCTGCTGTCAGTGACTTCATTTCCAACTGTACGCATTGTCAAATGATCGCCAAACCCATAAACGACGAAAAGGTGGTAAACTTCATGTAGAAGGGAACTCAATCTGCATGCAAGTAATATCGAACAAATGGACTAATATATATATATATATATATATATGTATATGTATATATATATATATATATATATATATATATATATCGGAATCATGGCTGAATAGGAAAACAATATGAATAATAAGAAAAGAGCAGCAACAAATGCTTTTTTGTCTATTTTACCACTCACAGCTTTTGAAATTTTTTCAGTTTGTTTTTTTTTAGGAGGAGGAAGAAGGGACATCGCAACAAACCGATGCATAAATGGACTAAATGTGGCCCTTATTCGGTAGGTGACAGAGATGACCAACGATCAATGTTCACGAGCGCACAAAATAAGCACCATGGGGTGAATGACCGCTTCATGCATATAAACAACAGCATGAACGCTAGTGTGGTGGAATTACAGAAGGCGGGCGAGCTTCAACACAACGCTCCCCAAGGCATAAAGTACAAACACAATTGCATGTACAGTATTGCATAATATGGTATACTGTAGCTCAGTAGCACCATCATCATCATCATTACACATTGGCCGAAGGTGAGAAACACACTGTTGTACCGCAATACACAAAGATAAGATTTATGGAAAATGGGATAAAAACATTAGTAAACTAACCATATAGCATACTGTTTCTCCACTGGGATGGCGCTTGGAGGAGGAAGATAAGTGAAAGGAGAAGAGACAAAGAAACTCACAACACAAACGCCACTGAGGTTGGCACTTCGCCATGTCAACAAGTGTATTCAACCAAACGTGTGCATTGACCTTCGGATCTCAGCCCCAGTAGTCGGGAAATACCAACCGACGCCAAGCTGGAAGTGAGGGTTTTCCTTCCTCCTAACCTAATCAATGCTTGGTCTCCCCTCCGTCCATCCACAGCCCCAGCGCACAAACGCAGGTCGCGGGAGCCGGTGGGCTGGCGTGCGTACCACGTGGGCCAGTCATCGGAGCCCGGTGAGTGAAATAACGGTACTGAGCGGTTCACTCACCCTCTCTGCACCAAATACACAACGCTGAACACGCTCAGAGTTCACGCAGTGTTCCTACCAAATATGAAATAAGCCGCGCAGGTAGCGATCGATCGCCGAAGGTAGCTAGCTTCTTCACATCCGTCAACTTAGTGGGCCAGGTTTCACATCCGTATCAGGGGGTTGAACAGACGGCTGCATTGCAAACTCTGTCCTTCAGGGGGAAAGTGACATCACGCCGGCATCACAGGTGGTTAAGACTGAAACGAGCGCCTCAAACTTTTGCTATACGGTCGGTGATCTCACCTCCCATTCCATGGGCGCTAACATAGCTGCCTGGATACTTAATTTCTGTACGACTTCTGTCTGATCCCAACTAAGGGTCAGTGCAGAAGTGGATCACTGCT